GTGGGAGATAGGGGAAGGGGGGTAAGGAGTAAAATCAGGGACATCTGTAATACTCTCAACAATAAAAATAAATAAATACAGTATTTATAAAAAAATAGTTGCCAGTATCCCCAAGTCAGATTTCATCTAGAAGCCTGAATTTATGTCTTTTCTTGAAAAGTCTGAAGCTGGATCTCATAACACTGAACCTTTCTCCCCATAAGGCATCAGCTGGAGCTAAGGGGTGGTTCTTCCTTCCAGAGGGGTGTTGCCTTCAGTTTGCCACGACCACACCACTGACTTTTGCAGGGGTGACTGCCAACATTATATAAACTTGTTTACCAATCAGAACGGACACAGCTGCGCACCACCAGGGTGACCCTGTGCGTGCCCTACACCAGCCAGGGTCTGACGCTTCTCCTGCTTTGTGGATCTACAACCGCCAGGTCCCAGGAGGGTTCCAGTCTTCATGCCATGCCCTAGGCTGATGCTGAGTAACCCTAGAGCAGCCCTGCCCAGCAGGACAGAGCGGGTAAGAAGTTGAAGGAGGGAAGCACCTAGGAAGCCAAGGATCAGGGTCTGCATGACTGGGAATGTCAGGATCAGCTCCATCCGGGTGCAAAAGTCCACCCCCAGACAGATGGACATGTGGACAGGGAGATGGACAAATAGAGCAATGCGGATGCACAGTGACAGGCAGCTGTCAGTTACGCTTCATTCATTCAATTGCCTGTGCCAGCAGCACACCAGATGACAGAGACACACCAGTGAACACACAGGCTCTGTGTGCATGGAGTGCAGAGGCTAGTTTGTGTGTTGCGGGGGACAAGTCTTCATGATAGAACCACACAAACACACAACTCAAACAGCAATAATGACTCTAAAGGAAAAGCATGGAGGTCTACGTGAGTGTAGAAGAGGGAGTTCAGTCTAGGTGGGGAAACCAGAAAAGGCTTCCTGGGAAAAAAAGACATGCTTGAGCTCAGTCCTGAGCTAAGACAACAGCTAATAGTAGTGAATTTATTGAGCGTGTACTGTACCAGAATCGTGTCAAGTACTTTACACGTAACCTCTCACTAAACCATCACAAAAACAACATTTAGGTGATAAAGCTCAGAAAGCTTTAATCGTTTTTTCAAAGTCACAGAGTTCAGAAAACGTAGACGTGACATTTGAAACATGAGAAACATAGTCCGTTCTCAACCATTATATTATACGACCTAGAGGAGTTAGCTGGGCGGAGTGTGGGTGTGAAGGGAAGGATGAGAGAGAGATGAAGAGCATGTGTCATCTCTAGTCCAGGCAGATGTCATGGCATGTGCAAAGGCCCTGAGGTGGGGAACTCAAGATCTATTTAAAGAAGTGAAAAAACCAAGTATGTCTAGAGCATAGCAAGAAAGGTGATCAGAGTGGCCTAGATGGGCAGGGACCCAGTCACACAGGGCCCAGAGCATTCTATGAAGGACCCTGATCTTTATCTTGACAGCAACTGGAAGCAATAAGGAAGTGAGAGGACTGGCTCATGGAGACAGTCAGTGTAGACTGCAGAGTGAATAAACTTGGTTAATTGGAACTGACCATCCCAATAGTAGCATCTCAATGGGCTTTTAAATCACAAACAAAATTAAGTTCGCTGTAGCTATGGGCTCATATACATATAGTGGCACTAAGAATACTTTTGAATATTGGCCATCTGCACACCAATGGCTATCCCTTTCCAATTATTCTGGACAAGTAGTTTTCTTCATGAGGGTCTCCTGCCTCCTGTAAATATAATTCTAGGAAGGAGCGAAGCTATGCAGTTAGGTCTTTGGCTTTTCTGGTGAATTAGGTATCAGAACACATTCATTTACATTTTAGATCTAAACATAACACACCCAAGCAGAAAACTATTTTATGTTACAGCGTGTAGTACAATCTCAGCGGGGAAAAATAAAAAATGATGAGTTTGTTGTTTGTCCCTATTTTGAAAGGTGAATTCTTACCATGGGTTCGACAATGTAGTTGCACAGGAAGACGTCAACAGTGGAATCTAAAGCGGTGGCCACGGGTTTGCAGGTTGCAATTTTCTCTGTGATCTAAGGGGGAAAGAAACACAGGAAAACTGAGCCAGAGCCACAGAATCCACGAGAACCAGACACACTGTGTTCCTTCCGCCTGTTTTCACGGGAAGGATCTCTCTCTCCGCCGAGGTACAGAGCTGGCAGCAGATTGCTGTGGGTGAGTTCCACGATGTATAAAAGTACGTGTTTGAAAGCAAGCCCCTGGTTCTTGCTGAGCCCTGGTTTCCAGTTTCCTCCCTTGTCATTTGAAACAACAGGACCCATCCCACTGGACTCCTGAGGGAATATAAAAAGCACACCTGCCCAGCAAAGTGTCTCAGTCTGAGTCTCTCACCTGACCCCTTTGTGGTCTGACAAAGGATGTGGGAAGAAAATGGAAAGTTGGTTAACTAATAAGTGCCCACTGTCGAACAGGGGCCAGCATGCTTTCTCTATACAGGGATAGGGAGGGAACATTTTAGACCTTGCAGGTGAGACTAAGGTGTACTTGTCCCACAGGCCCGACTCTGACATGGCAAAAAAAGCCACAGACAATACACACAGAAATGGGTGCGGCTGTGTGCCACTGAAGTTTTATTTATAAAAACAGCAGTACCTGCTGGCCCTGTTTTAGAAGGCAGAAAACAATGCACTCCTTAAGGAGGCGAAAATAAACAAGTTTAATGAATCCCAGACAGATGCTCCAATCCCATTGACGTAAGAGAGCTACTTTCGTTCGTTCAAAAAACCTTGGCGTATGGACGATAAGATGCGCCATTTCTTTCCTGCATTGGTTGGCTCACCTGTACCTTACAAGGCAAGTCATGTTAATAACCTTGTGTCTGTCCAAGTTCAAACTACATTACACAGTCCCTTTATAGGCGTCACTGTTACTTTTACAGAAAGCGGGGAAGGGGTCACATATTATCCTTATGTTCATAAAAGATAAACTACTTACAGCGATCTTGAGCCACTGCAGATAATATTTAAAATATCCAATGATTGTATTCCCATACTTCTTACTTTCCTGGAAAGAAATCAGAGTAGGAAAACCGTTAGGACGACCATACCCTGCTCCACCGAGTCATGTAGTTACGGTCACACTCCCACTCATTGGTATATTGATTTTTTTTCAAAAAATCTTACTTGAACAACAACAAAGGAAAGGTTGTTTTTGATGAAGTCCTGAGCAGAATCCAAAGAGGCAATGATATTTTTCACTTTTACCTGGAAAACACAGCAACAATTGACATGGTATCAAGGAATGAAAGGGTTTCACTGGACAGTTTGTGTGTCGATGTGAATGCTAGCAGCTCAGTCCCACACACCACAGCTTGCTAGTTAAGGAGGCGACAGAAGCAGCCCGGCGCTCTGGGG